TTATTAAATGCATTAAAATCTTTAACTTTTTCCTGTGTCAATGTATTAATTATATGATTGATTTTAATATATTTCAGTGTATTAATTATATAATTGATATAAATAATAAGGTGAGAATATTTTTTAATAAAACTCAAGTAACTGAATGGATTAGCAAAAAAATAAAAATTTTCAGTCACACAAAAGATGAAAGTTTTATCATCTTTCAGGTATTTCTAAAAGTCACATTCTCAAATTCAACTTGAGTTTTTATTTCCTGACAAACAGGCTCCTTGTATTTTCTTGTATAGAATAGTGATTTTAATTCTAGACGTGTCTTTTGTTTATGACTTATTTTGGCAAACATATTTTAAACACAGTTAAAACATATTTTAAACACAGTTAGGCCAGCTCTAGTAGCTTTTATTTGATAACTGAAACTAGTAATTGAATCAGGAAACTGAAACTTTCTAGGGATGTTGTATTTTTTCTCTATCCTACAAATTTTATCATGGTCACTGCTCAAAGGAATCTTTTGTTCTTTTTAACAAAATTTATGTAATTTAAATCACATAACTTGTAAACTCTTTCAGTTAGTTAACTTATCACAACTTTTCAGGGTTTTTTTTGTAACCAAAATTTTTTTATTTATCTTTAACATACATATGTGATTAAGAATTCATTGAATGAAGATATGAAATTCTATTAAGAATACTAAAATAAAACACACCCACTCATGTTCTGAGCCCCTATATTCAAAAATATAGGTCTTGTCAAATATATAATCATAATCATCATCATCATTATCATCTTCATCATTATCAGTCTAGAAGTATATGATATCTAATGTTATTTTATAAAGCACACAAGATAAGAATACTACATGCATAGATGAGTTTTTGACTTTACGAAAATCCCAAACATTTTTTTCTTTAAAAATCCTAGAAAATCTCAGAAAATTATGTTTATAAAATATCCAGAAAATCCCGGAAAAATTCTCTAAAATGAAATATAATATCTCAGTTTTAACATAAACATCATGCAAAAGCGTAATAACTTATTTACTTTTTAAATATATAATGTCAGAAAATGATTGAGAAATCAGTACTTTTTATTTTTATAATTTTCTGTTGTGAAACATTAGTCAGCTTTTCTTTTTCTGCACTTTTTTGCATTACCAATAGTAGATTCTTTAACTATTTTGCATTGTTCATGTGAGGCAATCTTTTTCCTGTTTTTCTATTTTTTCCAATGGAATTCTATTTTTTAAATACAGCGTTTGCTCGCAGTTTGCAAATGACCACAGATATTTTTGTTAATTGGGTCATGCACTATATCTTGTTTTTTAGAGTACCCTAGTGCTGTGGTAGTGTCTGCATTTAATTGATACTTAACTGAAGCAAAATAATTGATACTTAACTGAAGCAAAATAATTAATACTTAACTGAAGCAAAATAATTAATACTTAACTGAAATTAATAATTGATACTTAACTGAAGCAAAATAATTGATACTTAACTGAAGCAAAATAACTGATACTTAACTGAAGCTATAGCAGAGCACGTAGAAGTATCAAGACGGTTTGTCTTTTTGTTAACTATGGTGTTTATCATGCTGGTGATTGCTTCACTTTTTTTTTTTTTGCGATTTCTGCATATATTGCTTATATGCACATTATCAAGAGTGTTGTATGGTAATGCATGTATTTTTAATTTTAAGTTAAGTTTTAAGTACCATATGGCAATGTATGTATCTTTTTTTTTTAAGTTACTAAAAAAATGAGAACAGTATTACTTTATATGACTTTACCATTGCGCAGTTTTGATATTTATAATGTATTTTAGAAATTGAGTGTGGAGTAAAGATTTTTTACCTTCACTTCCATAACAAAAGTCTTTACATATTTTACATCAAACCTAAAACATCAAATCAAATATTATATAATTATGATGAAATTATATATTTCAATGTTCAGTAAGAGAATAAACTTACTGCTCCGGCTTTATCTATATTTCTTACATAGGCTAAATAATAATCTTCATTATAGTCTTTCTCTTGAAGCCGATTCTAGTGAAATTTGTTTTTAATATTTTTGTATATCTCAGAAATGACTGATAAACTTCTCAACTCTTATTTCATATTCTTTTATTTAGAAAAAAGAGTTTAAAAGAAAAAAAAAAAGAAAAAAAAAAATTATTACAACAATTGATCTCGTGAAAATATCAGTTGAAGAAAACATATTTGCTTAAATGCAAATGTTGCCATCTTTAAATTTTACATTATTTTTTACAAAGCAGTAGCAAATAACTATCCAGAAATTTCTGGAAACTTAAAGAAGTTTAAACTTATTTATTAAGTTTAAACTTAAATAAGTGAATTTCCAGAAATCTAGGAATTCCTAGAAAAAAACTTATCTATGTACATAATATGTACTATGCACATAAAACATTCAAGTATATTACATAACATATAAAATATAACTAACCTTTTGTTCAAGTTGTAATATGCTATTTTTGCATTCACTCATAGTATTTAAAATTGATTCCAAATCTTTAGACGCTTCATTTATATCCTATAAAACATTTTTTTGTAATTATTTTCCTATATTTAATTAAACTATATAACAAAAGAAATAAACTACACAATTATAAATAGAGACAGACATGACATAACAAAAGAAATAAACTACACAATTATAAATAGAGACAGACATGATTTATATATAGTAATCATGGAGTCAGTAGTCAATAGTTATAGTTTACCTTTTAAATTAGGTATATATTTATTTATTTTGTTTCAACTGAAACTAAAATAACAGAACATACCTTCATAGATGCTTCAACTGTGTCCTAAATACAAAAAAATTTTATAAAAAAGTTTTATTAAATAAAGATTCAAAATAAATACACATCAGATTTCAGATTTTCCATTTTCTAGAATTTCTTCTTCAAATATACCAATGCATTACAATAAATAAAAATAAATTTTATTCCAGTTCTATTTCAAATTAATTCATTTTAGTCATATTTAGACTTTGGGCAAAAAAAAGTTATATATATAACAGCCTTCTTGGCAAAAAATGTTCTGTTTAAATTCACCTCCCAAAGGCCAAGAAGGCAATTACAGTCGAGGAGGCTACTTAACTGTGGCTACAAGTCTCTCTCAATTCTGTACTACCAGAGTAGCGGTGGGGATCGAACTTAAGACCTCTCGCTTATGAAGTAAGCACTCTAGCACTACACAACTACCGATTATTACAAATTTAAGTGACATCTTAAATAGTATGTAATAATATAAGCATTAAAACATCATATAATGTATTTAAATTCTCAAGATAAATCTATCCAATATACATGCAAATAAGAAAATGCTCAACACCAATTAAATATCTTAAATAATTGTATTTCTACAGATCTTTCCCTTCACAAGTATAGGTTTACCATACACCACAAGAATGCAATTACAAACATACTTATAAAACCATTGAGTTAGCATTTTTAAAGGTTTTTTAGCTAGAGCATACAAATTTTTTCACTACAACATTCAAGGTGAAATCAATTTTCTTATTATTTTAACTGAAAATGTACATTTCTATAAAACAATATTAAAATACTGCTAAAAACTATATTCCCAAAATCCATTTTATTTTCAAAAAATTGATACCAAAAATCTAGTTATTTTACCAAAATTCCGTTTTTCCGGCTCAAAAACCAAGCCTAGTTCTTAAAAGAGAATTTTGTAAAGATGGCGTTAAAACAGTCTTACATTTTGGTAAACCGTAATGAGTCTTACCTGCTTCTGAATAGTCATCTGGGAGTGTACTAGCTTGAATGTACATGTAGTGCATGTTATATTGATTAAACAAGAAAAAAGATTTCTTCACAAATTCAAGAGCATAAAAGAATTTGTGAGGCTATACATATATATATATATATATATATATATATATATATATATATATATATATATATATATATATATATATATATATATATATATATATATATATATAATATATATATATATATATATATATATATATATATATATATATATATATATATATATATATATATATATATATATATATATATATATATATATATATATATATATATATATATATATATATATATATATATATATATATATATATATATATATATATATATATATATATATATATATATATATATATATATGTATATATATTAGGGGTAGTCAATTTCAAGAAATTTTTGATTTTAAAATACGAAACACTCTAGATTTGGGGCAAATATTAACAAAACAACTCCTAAAATATTTGAGCTTAACAGGTCTACTCAATTCTTACCCCTAAGTAAGTACCCTCAAAAACTATCAAAAACTACTGTTTTCACAGGTCCAAAGGAGAAGTTTAACTACAAAAATTTGAAATTTTCTTTTTTCGGGTTGTTTATTTTTACCTATATATTTGAGTAAAAATACATGGTATCATAGTTTATACAAAAATAAAAATGTTTTTTTCAGAAAACATTTTTATTTTTGTATTTTGAGTTAAAAAAATTACAATATATGAAAATATACTTACCGCATTTATGTTTCTAACAAAAGATTTTACTTATTGTCCAGAATATTCACACTTAACTTTTTTGATTAATAATGTAAATCTACAATTAAATTTAGTAATTTCTATGTGGGAATTTGACAAGATTCAATTATATTAGCTCAAAAAACAATTAAATGGTTGTATTTGTATTTGTATTGGTTGTATTGTAGTAAATTGTTTTACAATAATTATTTTAAATTAGATTTTTTTAGATTAGTAAAAATTAAATTAATTTAAATATGTATAAAGAAGAAAAAGAACGTGGTCAGAAAACAGAAAGTGAAAGTACACTAACATCTAAACGAAAACTATTAATTATCGAAGAAGCAAAACCAGCAATAAAAGGTAATAATTAGTTTTATAACGAATCCCTTAAGCTAAAAACTTTAGCTAAACTTTTTATTTCTTTTTTTTTTGTAATTAAGGGTGTCAGCTTCCAACAGGGATGGAGATACTGCAGCACTTAGCTTACAAACAATCATTTTTGCTTAGAACATCAAAAAAAGTTGCTATTCTTGCTTGTCCTCCTCAAAAAAAAAATCAAAGATGTGCAATAAAAAGTAAGTGTGTATGTAATTTGGCAAAGGTAAAAGAGCCATGGATTAAAGCTGGGTTTTCTATACTAAACAATCAAAGTCTAGTGAAAAATCTTTCAAATCTAGACAATGTATATTCAAAACTTAAGAAGCATGAAAAAAGAGGATCTGCAGCAGATTTGGCACACTAACCAGAGTTTAAAGTTTACCTGAATAAAATATTTTGGGCTAGCATTCCTGATCTTACAAATACAATTAAAAATGACAAAAAAAGATCTGATTCAGACAAACTTGAGGAATTGAAGTTTCTGACCAAGAAGGAAAAAGAAAATTTATGCTTGAATCAGAGGATAAAAAGTACAAAAAAAAGTATGTATTTCTTTAAAAGCAAAAAAAAAAAAAAAAAGATTTGCAAGGTTTTCTAAGCAACTTACTTACAATTTGCCATTTTAAATAATTTAAAATAAAAACAACTAAACAAAAATAACAATGTTCACTCACTATTTCAGTTTCTCATATAACTAAATTAAATTATTAATTATTAAATTCTTTTGATACTTTTAGGCAACAGTGAATAGTAGAAGGAGAAAGCATTGTGTGAAACAACAATATAAAGAATTAGAGGGGACAACTAATGTTAAGATTGATACAGATACTAGTGAGGACTTCTCTCACGATTCTGATTTTAATCCTGGAGAGTGGTTTAAAAAAAAGCATTTTCAACAAAAAGTTGAAACTACTAAAATTCCCATTGATGTGTTTGCTGGTAATGTAGCTCTTATGGCTACAATCAGTAACATTTCTCCAAGTGTTTTGCATAAAGTTACAGGTGCAATTCTAACTCAATCAGGAGCTGATCTGACAGATTTTAAATGAAGCCAGTCTACAGCAGCTAGGAAAATGAAATATGCCATTTGTAATATATGCAATATATCAAAAGAAGATGTTCAACAAGCAATGAATGAATCCCCATACCCATACATAGAACATTTTGATTACAAAATATTAAATGAACTAAATAAAGAAAAAAACAATTAAAACCGATAGACTGGCTGTACTTGTAAATATTGAAGGTGAGACACATCTGCTTGGAGTACCTTGATCAGATCAATTGTGTAATGAAAGATCAGTACAATGGTGTAATGAACCTTCTTAAGGAGTACAATTTTGAAGCCTAAGTATGAGGAATATGTTTTGACACTACTGCAAAGTAACACTGAGTTAAAGAAAGGTTCATTTATAAGAATATCCAATAATATAGGCAAATATCTTTTACTTATTGCATGCAGACATCATGTATGTGAATTAAGAATGATTCATCTTTGTAATTCAGTTTCAAATAAACATTCCACAGGACCAGACAATCCTATGTTTGAAAAATTAAAAACTGTTTTTGAATGTCCTTATATTAATTACAATCAAACAGAACTATAAAAGTTTGATTGGAAAGCAGTAAGTGAAACCTTTCTTGAGAAAGCTGCACAAGAGTCTTTTAACTTTTGTCAAGAATACATCACAAAGAGAAAAGAAAATAAAGATTTTATCAGAGAAGATAGAAAGTAGCTTGCAGAACTTTTTGTGAGTTACCTTTGTCCGTCTTTGTCCGAAAACCCGGAGCATTTCATCATGCTAGGTTCCTATCTAAAGTACTTTACTATATAAAGCTACATCTTCTATCTAGCCAAATTGAGTTCGTAAATCAGAACAATAAACTCAAGACATCAGGCTAATAAGTGATTTTACAGTTTGCTTTTATGCCAAATGGCATTTGATATGGCAATGATAATTACATTTTATAAATGGCATATAAATGGCAATGATAATTACATTTTACAGGCTAATGACACTATTAGAGCTCCCTTTCTTGATACAAAAGAAATACACCAAATGCAACAGTACCAAAAACTTTGTGCTAAATCAGATGCTGTCGATGCAGTTTTAAACTGTCTATACAAACATAGTTTGTATAACAGTGATTCCTCTTGCTCTGTTGGATGACATTTGAGGAGAAAGCAAACCTTGCAAAAGTAATTCTAACTTTTAAAATGCCGATTTTAACTTGGTGCAATACTAAAAACAAATTAAAAATAGATAGAAAAGATAAAACAAATTGGAAAATTTTGTTTTATCTTTTCCCTTGCTCTGTTGGTTGATGAATTTTCATATCTTATGTTTGATAGAATTGGATTAGAGGAACAAAGGATAAAAGATTGGCTTTCGCTTCCTCATGAGTATTGGTTTACTCAATCTGTTTTTGAAATCTTTCAGAACTATGCCAAATCTTTAATTGTAATAAATGATTATTCAAAAAGATCTGCTGGAATGATACAGCAATTTATTCACCAATACAACAATGAGGAAGATAAACAGTATACATTAAAGAATACATTGCTAACTGTTAAAAATGTTCGGTGTGCATTCAAAACATCTAGAAGACGCTCAAACAAACTTTCTAAAAGTAAATTTATTGAAAGCTTATCTTCTCTCGACAAGGAAGAAAACGAGCATGAATGTAACTGAGATTATTTGAACTTGAAATTTAATCCAACAACATGAAACTATTATCAAGTATTGTAAATCAAAATACAAAAACAAAAATACTTTTGAAAAAAACTATGATACCATGTATTTTTACTCAAATATATAGGTAAAAATAAACAACCCAGAAAAAAAAAATTCAAATTTTTCTAGTTAAACTTACCCCCTGGACCTGTGAAATCAATAATTTTCATTGATTTTTGAGAATTTTTTTTCTAAAAAAGTGCTTAGGGGGTAAGGATTGAGTGGTCCTGTTGAGCTCAAATTTTTTGGGAGTTTTTTTTAACATTTACCCCAAATCTAGAGTGTATGGTATTTTAGAATCAAAAATTTCCTCAAATTGACTACCCCTAATAACTCAAATATATAGGTAAAAATAAACAACCCGGAAAAAAAAAATTATATATATATATATATATATATATATACATATACATATATATATATATATATATATATATATATATATATATATATATATATATATATATATATATATATATATATATATATATATATATATATATATATATATATATATATATATATATATATATACATATATATATATATATATATATATATATATATATATATATATATATATATATATATATATATATATATATATATATATATATATATATATATATATATATATATATATATATATATATATATATATATATATATATATATAATTCATCTAACAACTTTCATTATGAAAGATATATATATATATATATATCTTTCATAATGAAATATATATATATATATATATATATATATATATATATATATATATATATAATATATATATATATAATTCATCTAACAACTTTCATTATGAAAGATTGGGCCTGTCGCTTTATATCAAAATAAATAATGGCATGGTTCTTGAGCAAGGGAATTATTGTATTGGAGTGGTCCAGCAAAAGCCCAGATCTCAACTTAATATAAAACATTTGAAAGGAAATAAAATCAAAGATTTGTCAAGTATATAATGTACTTTAATTTCAGAAATGATGACAAAAAACAAAAAGAGTTTTCATTTAAGACATGTCTCTGCAATACTTTCAAAAACTTTCTGAAAGCATACCAAAATTTGTTGAAGCATGCCAATACGTGTTAAATAAGAAGAATGGGCAAATGACATTAGTAAATATATATATAATACTACAAACTACAAAAACCTTATTACATTCACTGAAAAAATTTTATGACTACTCAGTCTCATCCCAGAAAATTTTATTTTAATGTAGATTTTTTCAGAAAACATTTGTCCAGATTTGACAAGAGCCACTTATTTATTTTTAACTGCACACTCTTTTTAAAATTTTCATAAATTGCAAATTATTTGTGTTTAAATTTTATTTCAAGATAATTGAAAGAATTTGATATTTTTCAATAATAATTTTTCTTACTTAGTAAAAAATTTTTACTATGATAAATGAGTTTTTCTAAGCAAGTGGGACGAGGATGACTATAGTCTCTTAACCTAACTAGTCTGAAAATATAAGGTATTAAAGAATACTTAGAAAACTTATTGTTTTCAAAACTCACCTTTTTTTTATTACTTCCAACATCGAATAGTTCATGAATAAGATGAAGCCTCTGTAAATATGAACTCAGAGCACTAAATAGTTAAATGCACACAAAAAATATTGCTATGAAAAATTAAAAAAATGATATTAAATTGAGATCATATTAGACACAATTTAAAACTAGAAGTATCAAAAATATTTTTAAATATTAAAAATTAACCATTGAAGATCAGCTCCTGCTTTCACTATAAGTTGCTGCAGAAATGTAGGCTTTAAAGAACCTGATGCAAACCTTGTAAAATCTCGATTTACACCTTTATTTACATAGTCATTCAGCATTTCATAGAAAGATTCATCTGATCTTAACAACAACAATTTAAATAATAAATTACTTATTTGAAAAATAAACAATCAGAATAAAAAATACAGAAATAAAAAATTAAATTTTTAATTAACTTAGTGGTAGAGGTAGTGAGTGGGGCCCAAGCATATAAGATAGATTTTACAAACCCAGCTTCAGCCCCGAAAAAAATATAAGATTTAACAGAGGTTGATTGCCAGGGTTAGAAAAAAAATTTATAATACATTATAAGCCTTTCCATGTATTTATTATTTATTAAACACTTGCATATAGCATGAATATATATGTTTGTTATTCATTTATATACTAGCATACAATATCCTTACGTATTTAAAAACACTTTAGTAGGGGAGAGTTACTGAACACCTCAGAATAAATACTTCTTAACTGAAGATAATTTAACTATGAAACACTTATGATTTGATTAATACAAGATGGTTAAGCTATGAAACACTTATGAATTGATTAATATAATTTAATTAAGATAATTATTATAATTAAGATAATTAATATAATTTAACTATGAAACACTTATGATTTGATTATTACAAGATGGTTTACCTATGAAACACTTATAATTTGATTACAAACAGACAACCCTACTTTAACCATAATTCGACTTAATTGATTGCACTGTTAATAGAAATAAATTTAGTTTTGTTAAGGTACCATTTTGCTCTAATCAAGGAATGCTTGAAATTGGAACGCTTAGATTACTTAATCTGAACTTTCTTTTTTTTTTTAAATACAGAAAAAAAAATCAACAGAAATTGGTTTTAAACTATTTTCATCTTTACAGTGACAACTAAGTTTTCTTATTAATAACAAATAAGTTTTGTTATTAACAAGAATGAAATTTCTTGGGCAAAATGAAAATAATAAACTGTATAAAAGCGAGGTTGATGGTTTTAAGTATTTATTTTTAAACTGCAACTGATCTATTTCTTCAATCTTTTGATTTTATCACTGATTAGGTATGGAAAACTTAATAGTTCCAATCAAAGAAACTTTGGAATATTTTATTTTGCAGTAATTTATAAGATAAGTTTATGCTATTATTTGCATTTAAAATCCCGTGCCATTAAAGATGAAAAATTGTATAACTCACAGAAGTAAATCAATATAGTGAGAACACCAAATAACATCAACAAAATCAAGTATTGTAAAAAAGGTTACTTTTTACTAAAAAAAATGCAAATAATAGTAATAAGATATTTAATTTCAAAAAAAAATACGATCGTTTCAATTAAGAGGCTGTTTCAATTTTGGAAAAACTCTTTTATTTATATGGTGTAGTATTTGTCAAGAGAAAAGATGATCATGTATGATTGGTGTGACTTTAACTAGACAAGACAAGTTATCATGAAATTAAACAGAGAATAGAAATAGTGAGTGTATCAAACAAAGTTTTTAGGAGAAGATTAAGGAGGTATGGGTATGTTAAGCAATGAGGATACAGATAATTTGGGTATCAGCATTTGGAATGAACAGGCTTCAGATGATGATGATGATGATGATGATGATGATGATGATGATGATGATGATGATGATGATGATGATGATAATGATGATGATGATGATGATGATGATGATAATGATGATGATGATGATGTTTATAAAATTTATATATAAATATCAGGCCTTGTTATGAGATATGTTGCCTAACGGAAAAGCATAACATGAGTAAATGTATCTTTACTCAATAAAGATATTTACATAGTTAAAAGTTTAATTACATCAATTGCGCATTTTAAAGTACCGCATTATAACTAAATTCAATTTGAAAATACATTAAAAATCATTGTAATTCTTTATCTTTATAAAATATCTTTAAATTGAATAATATTGTTATAAATAAAATTATAAATAAATTTTTAAATGTTGAAAAAGAACTAAGTACTATTGCAGAAAGATAGAACATATCACATAGCAAGATTCTTGTCCATGACATTGAAACCAATATGATAAAAGGTGTACTTGATGCAGAATGTGATTCTGTCAAGTTTTTTGCTTCATCCACTCAACTGTCTGTCGATGTATCACTAAATTCTCAAACAGAAATAACAGAGACGTTAGCTGCAAGACAAAATATCACCAATTTCTTCCACTAACCACCCTATCCACTTCTTCCACTAACCATCCCTAACCATCCCTAACTTCCACTAACCATCCCTAACCACTATAGTATAGCACAAGAAAAACTAAGATGCATTTGCTAAGAAATTAAACTGCCAGACCACCAATTAAAACAAGACACAAGTACACACTGGAATTAAACATTTTATTTATTGGAGGGATTATTAGAGCAAAAGTGAGCTGTCTTGTTATATATAAACAATCATAATTTTTTAAACAATTTAACAAGGCCTGTCATATACATACACACACATATATATATATATATATATATATATATATATATATATATATATATATATATATATATATATATATATATATATATATATAAACATAACATGAATTTAGGATAAAAATAATATATTTTCAAGATGTATCAATCTTTATGCAGTCCAGTCATAAACTCGGCCCCAACTATCTTTTACCAAACCCAGCAACAGCTCAATAATAGCAACGGCTTATTAATAGAGTGCTTACTTTGTAAGCAAGAAGTATTGAGATTTAAAGCCACCAATACCCTGGGAGTACAAAACCCAAATTGTTCATTGGGGCTTATTTTTCAGAGGTATAAAAATTTCATCAGGCTTTGTTTTTTGTTGGTACAAAGATCCAGGTTCTACAATCTTTTTTTATACAATAGATGTTTTGACCCCGATGTTTTGATTGCTATTCCAAACTCCAAACTTGATTTGGGGCTCTTGCAAGACTCTATAGAAACATTGTAATTATTTTAACAAAGTCAATTTTGCATTCAAGCCCTTGTAAATATATTTATGTAAATGTATATGCACATTCCCCAAACCCAGGGGACCGTA